GGGACGGAGGTTTTAAGATTTGGGAAGGGGAAGGGGGGAAGGGGTGTTAGCTGTCGGGGGTTCAGTCGGACAGCCAAGGGGTGATGACCAGTCTGCCTGCGTGCGACATGGCTGCAAGTTTGTTGTCTCTGGCCCAGGTGACCAGAATCCAGCGTCTGCCTCTGGATGAGCGACCTCGTGCTGCTCTTCGGATCCAGTCAACACGGATCATAATCCGTATCCATGCCTTGATCTTTTCTGATGATTGCAGCGTCGTTGGTCCACTGCTGCCTGAATAGGATGTTGTTGCGGTCCTCCCATATAACCCACAGGAGAATGGAGCGAATTGCTTGTGCTACATACCCTCTGCCCACTCTTCTGAACCAAGTAGACGGAATGTGGCCTTGGATTGCCTAGGCTTCGTCCCATGCCAGCAAGGCCAACAAACCTGTACCAGTGTCTTTCCCACCATTGCCAGATACGCTTAGAGGCGGGACATGACCAAAACAGATGGTTCAATGTCTCCTCTTGCGTGCTGCCGCATGGCAGGCATTTGGTTTCAATGTCCATTCCTTTTTCAAACAGCCAAACAACTGTTGGGATGGCGCAGTGTGAAAGCAGCCACGAAAGCCCTGCGAGTTTCTGAGTTGGGAGCGCTGGTAACTGTTCCCATAGCGTTCGGAGACTCTCTTCTGTTGACCTTTGTGGCCCGCCCATGGCGTTGTTTAGCCTCCGTGCCACCTCCTTCGGAAGGTCCTGTGCTTTGCTCTGGAGCTGCCTTCCCAGTCTGGATGTATACTGGTAGAGGAACGTTGTTTGTCCAGCTGTTGGCTTCCAGAGGTGGGCTTGTGGGTCAATTATGAGCCTTCTCAGTGGCAAGCCCTGCATGAGTAACTCATGGGAGGCACTGGTTTCGGTGGCTGTGGTGTGAACACGAACCTGCTGCAGTTTCTGCTTGGGTGCATTGCCATGTCTCCAACCAGCTTGAGCTTGTTGTTGTTTGCAGCCTGTGCTGGCTCCGGTAACCATTCTTGCGCAAGCCAGGTGTGGTCGCCCAACTTTTCCACCATCCGCAGTGTGGCCAGCTCTTTGATACCACTCTCCTTCCACCGGGCCCTTTGAGTGCAGCAGGTCCCGCCAATGCGGGGGGATTGCATTCCGTATCTGTAGGCTTCGGGCGGAGATTGATTGCAGGTGGCCCAGTTTCTGCTTGAGCTGTTGATCTGATACCCAACTGTCTGCTTCGTCGTCCCAAAGGTCCTGTATCTTGGTGACTCCTCGTTCGGTCCAGCGTCCCCCAAAGTTGCCTGGTGCTGAAGTGGCTTGGAAAGGCACATCCTGGATGTTGCAGATTGAACTGTTATAAAAAATGGCCTGTTGGAGAACTTCTTCCTTCGTTACTGGGTCTTTCGTATGTGGAGGAAGAAGAGTGCTCCATGCCGTCCAATAGGCATTGGCCACTGGTGACCGCAGTCGTCTTCGTTGATAAGACTTCATGAAGATGCAGATCCAAGCGTCTTCTTTACGGACCAGGGATAACTCTTGTTGTAGGATGTATTCCAAGATGGCGAGCCAGTTCCTCCGGTCCGTCCGCATGGCGGCTCTGAGGAGCCATTTCATGAGTAGAGCAAGGTTCTGACTTCTTGGATCAACTATACCCACCCCCCCCCTGGTTCTTTGGGGCAGTTACCTTAGTCCAGGCACACTTGGAGATGTAAATGCCCCTCGTGTGCAACTGGTTTTCATAGGTAACGTGCAGTGTCTGATGTTAGGAGCTTGATTGCAGGCTTGGATAGGAGGCAGACTGCGGCAACGAACCAGAGTTGTGCAAAGGCTACTGATGTAATCAGGAGTGCACGTCCCAGGAGTGAGATTCCCACAGCTACACGGCAGCGCTGTATCCCTGTTTGTGTCTTGGCCTGGAGGATTGCGTGCTGCTTCGGGCTTGCGTCTGCCAGGGAGACCTGGATGCCCAGGTAGCGCTCTGACAGGTCTGGGGGGATTCACTTCATACCCCAGTTCTGCCCTCTAAGGTGATGGGCTGCTCTAACTGTTGTGCGGCTTCTGGCGATAGTTTCACTGTTGTGTATGTCGATTTCCTCCCTTAGTTGCTGCAGGGTCTGCTCCGGCTGGCGTCTGGAGGTGAGAATATCACTGAAATAAGTTAGTGCATACTCCCCTATGGCTTCTGAGTCCTTGGCTGCAACAACTTCTGGGAAGAACGGGTGGTGCAGTTCCCGCATCAGCACGTGTGCTCGTGGCGGGCAAATTCGTTGGAAGGTCTCCTTGGTCATGCGGTCAGTTGTGATCATGCCCTTTTCCTGTGCACCCTTGGCCCATAGTATTTGTTGTTCAACCTGCAGGTCCTCCAACTTCTGCAACCACCTGTCTCTCCTGTGCTGCGAATAGAGCTCAGCTAGTGGAGCGTTTCCCGATTCCGCCTCTACTTCTGCAATCTGTCTTCTGCATTCTTCTTCCTGTTGCCTGTGTCCTCTTGCCGGCATCCTCGAGAAGGTGTCCAGCGCTCTGGTGACGATTCTGAACCCAATCTGCAGCCATTCCTCCTCCGATTGGAATCCGCTCTTTGCCCGCTGCCAGTCCCTCCAATGTGTTGTTATCCAATCGGTGACGCCCGGGACATTCAAGAGGTCCATATTGAGCCGAAAGGTGCCTGAACCGCGGATCAGTTGGTCCGCCAGCTCAAAGGACGCGACCAGTGGCCTATGGTCGGACATTGACTCAATTGTCTTTTCTATAGTTGTTAGAGCTTCCCATGGGGTTCCTTTGGCTAGGACCAGATTCTGCCTCCTCTTCGGCGGAGGTCTGTCTCCGATTCTCTGGGAAGAGAACCATGTGTAGCCAGAAGTAGTAGGATGCGTGGTCCGAAAGGTGTCTGTAAGCCCCATCTCCATCATGAAGCTCGCCAGCATGATTGCATCGGTCTTCCTTGGAGCGACATCCGGAGAGTCCAAACCGGGAGACAGCGTTACGTTGAAATCTCCAGCCAATTGCAGGTTGTCTGCCTCTGGAACGATGGCAGGGAACTCCTCCAGGAAGGATCTCCGCTCTGCTGGTTCGGACGGGACATACACAGTCATAATGGTCCAAGTTTCTGCTCCCAAGCGGATTCGAATCCAGGCCCATTGGCCCCATATGTCAGCCTCCTGCTTGATGACGTCGGCCTCCAGGTTGCCATGTATCAAGATAGCACATCCACCCTTGGTTCCATTCGCTGGTGCCCATATCTGGGGCCCCTTCCACCAAGCATTGGCCTGTGGCAGTTTAAGCTCGTCCAGCTTTGTTTCCTGCAGGAGGGCTAGTATCTGCACCTTCTGGTCATGAAACCAGGTTTGAGGCGAGACTTTTTCTCTTTGCCGTTTGAGTCCCCCAAACCCCTAACGTTCCAGGTAGCGATTTTAAGGCTGGGCATGAGTCACGTCTTGAGCAGCTGCGTGTTGGATCTGATGTATGCCTTCCGCTGACTGTCTTGTCGACCTCTGTCTTCTTGCTCCGTCCACTTCTGTCGGTGTGCTCCAAGGTGCCAATAACAAATTTCGGAAGTCGGTTGCATGGGGCTGCTTGTCTGTTGCCAAGGATGTGCATAACTCTGCAACCAGCTTAGCATTGATATCTTTCGTAAGGAAGGTCTCCTGGAGTTCCGCCGAAGCTGTGGATGCTAGCCATGTGGATGGCAGCCAGACGATCCCTTGCGTGGCCAGGAGGGCTGCTGTGTCCAGGACAATCTTAATGTCCAAGACTTCAATAGAGAAGTGCCAACTGCCCCCAGCTGTCGTTGCCACGGTATTACGTCCAATGCGTATACTTGGGACTAGCCGAAATGGGAATCTCTCTGCTATGAAGGTGGCTACGACTGCTTTGATTGCCTCCTTGCTGGTTGGTGAGGAGCTTACATTGACAGTCAGTATTGTGAGGAGGCTCTTTTCAGTTCTTCTTGCCAGAAACTTGGTGCCTTGCGGTGTAAGCATAAAGCATAGCAGAATCAGTTAATGCCTGACAACAGAAAGTGCGGCTTTGCTGCTTGAAGGCTGGGCGCTCAAGAGGGAGCCCTGCGAGGGCTCCCCTAGAGCTAAGGTTCCTTGTGGGATGACCGTAGGCTCCAACGTTCTTCCAGCTGAAATGGTGAAGAAGTCGATATCGACTTCCTCTTCTTCCTGCGTAATCTTCCCTTCGCCATTCTCGTTAATTCTCCGTTGCTTCACTGGTGTGCGTAGCACAAGTCTTGGATCGCACATGGTTGCGTCTTCCTCTGGGCGAGCGAAGAATCCTTGCCTCACCGTCTGAGTGCATGGATCGAGGAGTTGATGTGTCTCTGCTTGTGCTGGTTGTGCTAGGTGAGTGTCAGCATGAGCGTAGGAGTGGGAAAGAGAAGGAAGATTGGGGTGTGGGTCAAATGTGGGATTGTTGAACATGGTATGGTACTGTGGCTGCGTTGGGAGAGGGGGGGGGAGAGGATGAGTGGGTTGACTCTGGTTGTGTGTGGCAGCGAAAGGTAAGGGAGTGCTTGTTGGGGGATGCGTAGGTCGTGGGGCCTGAAGGCTTGGGTGGTGATGACGGATTGGGGCTCCCAACTGGAGGGAGGGAGGGAGGGATGGGCGGACCAGGGAGACTAGTGGAGGGGACCTCAGGAAGACAGATGTTGAGTTGCGAGTTCGGGAGGGGTTGGGGACCAGGGCAGACGATGATGATGCACGTACTTGTGTGTACTGGGGTTGCGGGGAGGATGGAGCAGGCTGGTAGGGTATGACTGATAACGAATTTGGTTGGGAATAAGAGATTGCGAATGTGTGTTGTCCTTGGTATGAAACCAAGGGACCAGGGGGACGCAAAGGGCCGGCAGTGGGCGCGGGTGGAGGAGTTAGTTGAGGGCCAGCGAGAGACAGGTGGGGAGGAAGGATGGGTCGCGGTGGAGGATTTTGGTGACTTCCAGGGAGGGGGGCCTGAGCTTGGGATAGGAGTGTAGTGGGTTGACTGGGAGGGGGGGGGTGATGGGTGGTGGGGGGGCTCCCCTGCCTCCTCTTGGCCCTCGTCCTCTACCACGCCCCCTCGCTCTCCTACCTGCCGGCATCGGCTCGTGAAATCGGGGGCAGTCAGGATCGAATTCGTCATGGAGCCACCAAAGGCACTTCTGACAGAAGATGGTGTTCTGATTCGCAAATTGTATTTGCATGAGCTGTCCTGTTGGTCTGCGCAGAACGATCCATTCCATGAATGTGTCTCTGACTGAGGGGTGACAATCTATCTTGACGTTTCCTAATCGTGGTTCATCCTCCTGCTTGTCTGGGGGGTGCATGAATAGGATCGGTCCCACAAGCTGTTCAACAACGTTTCGCATGGAGAACATGGCTCCGAGTGGTACTCTAAGGGTGATAATACGGAATTTTGTTGTTGACTCGGCCTACCTAAGCTGATCCAACTCCTGTTGGGTCATCCATGGGCGAAACGTGACCTTGACCTGTCCATCCCTCGAGGGGATGAAGTCCTGAGCTTTGGAAATCATCCATTGTGCAATTTGCTGTGTACGTGCCATGTAAGACATTACTTTGGGGCCTTTCCCATGTGTACGACCACGTTTCAGTGATGAGTTAAAATTGGAATCCTGAAACCATGCATCCTCATAAATACGGATGAATTGCTCCCTCTGTGCGATCGAAAAACTGGCAGCCCTCGAGTCAAAGATTATGATGACGGTCCTTTCCTTTAGCCATGCTACCGTGGCCGCGTCCACATCCTCATTTAAGTTGAGGTATCCTATTCCATCGATCACCTCAGCTTCCCCATGTGAGAAGGAGCTTTCGGGGAATAGGCCATCATCGAAGCAGCCATCGAGAAGCATACAGATACGTGATATGTCCGTCGTTGCTGCGATCTGAGTCGAGGCTAACGGTGCATGTGTGATGGATGACGTTGCTGCGTTGACCGCTGGTCCGGCTTGAGCCGAGGCCGGGGGTACGTATGGGTTCATGGTGGGGGTTGGGTGACACGTGTGCTGGGTGATAATGGGGGGGTGCGTTGATTAGTCTGAGGGGGCCTAGACGTGAGTCGGGTATGGCAAGGGTGTTGAGTCAATTGGGGTATATCCGCCTGTGGGGAGGATAGGAGGAAGAGAGGGGGGTGAGGAAAGTCGATGAGGGTGTGTTGGGGAGACTAGTCAACGGGTTGACTGAGACTTAGGGCCGAGGGGTGGAGGGCTGGGAGTTGAGTGGTATGTGTGTGTTTAAGGAATAGATATACCTGTTTTGGGTCGGATATCAAGCAGAGGCACTGACTTCCTCGATGCTTCGATGAGCTCGGCAGGTTCCTGCCCTAGCTGTGTGCGGCCTATATCGGTCGCCGTGATCTGGTATACTGGTATTCTTCGGGGACAGGGCGTCAAACGCCTGTCCTATTTCACACTGTACGCATTTGATGTTGAAGCAAGGTGTGGCTGCCCCGCCATGTCGCCTCCATGTACCCTCGGTCTTCCTCAAAGGTCTTCCTCAAAGGAGGTGAGTTGGTCCAGCGATGGCTGCTGGATGGGATGGTGGTCGATAGCCACTTTGCTCGGCTTCGTACCAAGGTGGTGGCAGGCAAGACCGGTCCTCCCGAACCGGTAACGCTACGGCGGAGCGCTCCGCGCCGGCCGAACGTTTCTCCCCCTTCCCAAATCGTCCATTTGGTAGGAGCTTTTGGGCATACACGAGTTTGGTGAGTTTTCCACCCGTCCAGACTGCTGATCTGGACAGACCTTTTGTCCTTCTCCTTTGTCTTTAGTGAGCCTGCCGGGACACGATTTCTTCGAAACAGAAGTTTGGTGAGGTGGTGCGGCCAGGCCTGGATATGGTGAGGTTTGGAGTCCTCGCTGTGTTGGTGAGCACTCACCAAACATTTTCAAGATTGGTGAGTGGTGCGGCGAGGCCCCAAGTCCCATTTAGGCTGAAGCTTCATTTCTGGCTGTTGATCTTCGTAGTTTATGTCCAGAAATTGAGAGTTTGGTAAGTGGGACTCGCCCCTGGTCACTAAAACCCAAGCTGGGCACTGGTCCCACTATTTTTCTGAGTAAGACTGAGAGAAGCCCATGGCTAAGTCCCACTCGTGGGGTTTAGACCTGGTTTCCAGTATGCGCCGGCTCCTGCCATGCTAGCTGTTCATCGCCCGAGCACACGGTGGTCATGTGGACAAATACTCGAATGGATGACTAAACCCCCACCCATGGGACTTGGCCCCAACCTCTCCTTATGATTGGAAATGGAACTTGAACTTAAACCACCAGTACTTGGCCCATACATCGGCCGCGGGGCGTTCTTGTTAATGCCCCGCAACTTCCGGAGGCTCGGGGTACCGGCCCTCAAGGGCTGGCGCCGCCAGCCAAAACATTTTTTTTTTTGTTGTGCTGGCGGGTCGGCGCGAAACGGCATGCAGCTTGTTTTCAGGCTCGGCATCCATAGCTGGGCCAAGTACTGGTGGTTTAACTGATGGGGCAAAAAATAACAGAAATCTTTTTTTCCGCCTTTAAAACTAACCTATATACTTCTCTCAGTTTCACCTCTCACTACCTACCTACCACTACTCCTAAGCCTATACAGGGGACCCCTGCAAGCATACCTAACTCTCACAATCAAGGGGATGCATGTTGCCCCCAACCCTAGCAGTGAGGGCCATCACTCACACATCCCTGCAAGCATACCTAACTCTCACAATCAAGGGGATGCACGTTGCCCCCAACCCTAGCAGTGAGGGACAACACCCAACCCCCCCCCCCATCACACACACACCCATGATGGCCAAAGACCCTACCAATACCGACCGGGGGGAGCAAGCCCAGGCGGTCAGTCAGGATTGAACCCACAACCTCCTGAATGACACTTGAGTGCCTAACCAACTGAGCTGGGCCTTCTGCTCAGAACAGAAACCCGTGTCCAGCATCAAAGAAAAAACAAGAAAAGAAGAAGGAAAAAGGAAAGAGAACACAGGATTTTTCAAGTCACTGGAGGCCACACACACACTAGGACTTTCCTGGACGTATCTTACCAATATTACAGCCAGGCAGGGATGCATCTGATCTCATGTACGTCCAGAGTATGCCGCACCAACAGTCAATTGAAAGCCTTGAATAGTTTAAAACTTTTGAATTAATATTTTGCACTTTGCACAGAAGCTCAAAGCATGCCTGTATACATGACTTGATGACAAGACAGTCTTGGTACAGAATCATCATCATTCAGAACTGCCCATGACTGTCCAACAGACCCATCAGCCATTTGCTAGAACCACGTGGCATGAAGTGGTGAAAGCTTCGCCACTGTCGTGGCAAAAAGGGGAAAAAAAGAAAAGAAAAAAAAGAAAAAAAAGGAAAAGAAAGTGCGCGATGCTTCATCCAAAACTTGGAAAGTTGGGATATAATATTGAGGAGGAACGTGAAGATATTGAATGAGATTTTTTTTTTGGTTTGCCTGGGAAATTCCTTTTTTTGGGGGGGAACACTAGGGCACAGTCAAGGTTTCAGTTTGAAAATGTGTTTCAGTGTTCGCGAATGTTGAGCCAAAGCGAGGAAATATGCCTGAAGTGGATTTAAAACTGAAATCGTGACTGCACCCTGGTTACCCCTTCTTTTTTCCTTTTCTTTTATCCCCTGGGAAATTCCTTTTCAAGCATGGATGTACTGCCTTTGCCTTCGGCCTTTGGGACACAGCGAGGGATAAAAAGGTGGACAAAAAAAGGGATAGGGGAGGGGGAGATGCTGTGATTTTACCAAAATTCCTAGCCAGAAAACCCATATCGCGTGTGCACACAAGTACTTTGTAAGCGAATCAGGGTGGAATGAGGATCAGAGACATCCCCTTATTTCTAGTGTCAGCCTGCTTTCAGAAATTAGGCTGACCCTTGCCAGCGGCCTCGTCCCACTAGCAGGTGGCGATTCAAAAGAAAGTGCCGGCGTTGATTGAAAAGAAAGTGCTGTGTGAGGTGCTTTAGAGCATTGATAAATGGTAGAAGAAGCAAAAGAAATGCTGCGGAAAGCTTTAAATTGTACCTATTTTCAAATATGTCTGACACAGTGTGAGTGAAACATGCCGTGATA